CAGATGCTTTGCTGATTGCTTGGTGAAGCCTAGAGCATGAGCTCCCTCCTGCAATGTTTACTTTAAGTCAATCTACATTTGCTTAAAAGTATGACCGTCTTAAAATCAGATCACTTCCTTGTAACTTTCATAAAAACATGGATACTTTTTAGTGAGACTATTGTGTGTAATTTAAATGTAGGCTTGTGTGACAATCTTAATTTACTTCATAGTTCTTAGAATTACAGGGAATGGATTGTTAATGAAATGTATATTGTAATATTGCTAGTGATGATTATAATACTGCAAAAAATTTATATTCTACTCGGGGATTTTGGAGGGGGACAGGGAGTTACTTAATTCATGTTTTTTGACACTGTCTGGAATATAATTACAAGGATTCTCTGTCCTTCTAATGCTTTCATTCTTCCATATTTCCTTGACCTCCTCATTTCTTCTAATTCTTTAATAGAGAGAATTAATAGCTCTATTGATACAGTGTTATTTTCCACCTAAATACCTAGAAAGTGGGAATGCTCAGTTAAAATTTAAGTTCTTTTTATTAGTTTCTGTTTTTTTTTTTTTTCCTTTATTCTTGCAGTCTTTTAGGATTAGAGTGGAGGATTTCTGTTTAAATGTTTGCACCCACATCCTGCAGTGCAGGTGGACTTGAAGTTTAGTTAGAAGGTTAGAAATATTTGTTTTCAAAAAGTGTAAAATCCTGAAGAAAATTGATGACAGGAGATTAAAATTGTAGGAGCATCAAGATGGCAAGTGATTTGAGCAATGCATAGGTGGCCTCTGTGGTGTTCCATTGAACTGCGATATAGGATGTTATTTCAAGATAATATGGTTTGAACTGGGTGGGTAAATTTCTGTGTGACTTTAAGAGCATCTAGCACCAACTTGTATAGCAATTGGATTTTATAGGCAAAGAAATCAAAGGGAGTTTAGAGAAAGAGAAATTTTGTGAGTTGATTTAAGATTTGAGGCTCTTGTCTGATGCTAATAAAGATTTCTGATGTCATTCTTTTTGTAGCTATAATGTACATTACTGAAATAATTTGTATAATCTGTGCCTGTGTGTACTATCTTGAATGAGGTATATGTTTATAATTTCTGGCTTTCAGATTTAAATCTGTGAACACAGCAAGAGCTCAATGAGTTCTAGTAATAATAGTCCTATAATGCAGAGATTCTGAGAACTTCCTTGCAAATGGAAGGAGTCATTCATCTCACAAAAGTGGTAGAGAAAGAAACTTGCCAGAGCTGCAAAGAATAATTTCTGCAAAGGTCATGTAGAGTAGGTTAGACCATAATCAAAGTATTTTTGGGAGAGTTTTAAGATTCTGAGAGAGGCAGTTAAGAAGGAGCTTTGAGACTGGGTGTTCTTTAAACTTTGTTTTCTCTAATTTACAACTTCTCCCAACTTTCTTCTTAATTTAAGGTTTATCTTTCCTGCCTTATAAACACCTTTTTTTTTTTTTTTTAAATATTAGAGCATTGTGGGTAGAGATTATGGAGCTATTATATAGAGTGCTTCTTGCATGCAAAATGAAATGGTAATTTTCTTTCTGCCTTGTATTTTGCCCTGTTTTCTGTATACTTGTTTTTATTTTTCTTTCATTGTGGAAAGTGAATCACCAGTTTTCACAAACAGGCTGGACTGGCAAACTGTTGGGGCACCTTCAGGGAGCCCTGTGGTTCTGCAGGGAGTGATATAACTTGATGACATATTTGTATCCTTCTAGCTCAAAACTTGGAATGCTTGACATAGTAAGCTTTTATAAGATTTCTGGCAAATAGAGAGGAGGTGTTCCCCAAATCTTCTCATAATACACTACCGTGCAGAAACAATTTCTCTGCAACCTTTCAGTTGGTTTCAGATGACAGCTTTCTGGTAGGTGCTGGGCAGACATTCAGTCCATCAGACATGTTAATCTGTCTTTCACTGGTCTAAGCTTAACCTGTGCTTGCTTCAAAGTGCCTTTGTCTCTCCTTTCCTCTCCATGCTCCAAAACCCAGTGCCTGGTAGAGCCACCTGGGAGAGCCCTGGCATTTGCTGGCCCTGTTAGTAGCCATTCAGATGAAGGATGGATGAGAAACACTCCATAGGCTCAGTTTCCCTCTAGAAAGGCCAGTTGGTGCCCAGGCTGTCAGAGCTGGTGGTGACTGTAGCGTGTCTGCTGCGGGAACCTTGGGGGAAGTGTGGACCCACTCCCGCTGGTGATCCAGGAGATCTGCCTGGTGAAGCTGCGCCTTAAAATAGCTTGAGTGAAATCCTAATTCTGCTGAAGTCAGTGGGTACTGAGACATTAATTTTAAGTCAGCAAGGATTTCACCAGTATTTTTGTTTTGCAGCTGTAGAGGGAGGGAGCCCTGAACCAAGATGAATGTGACTTCACATTGTGAAATACATTCTCTGCTAGTTTCATCCTTGCCTTCCTCCCATCTGAATAACTGTAAATGATGTTCTCTGTTAATAAGTGTGTACTTTGTCTAAATTGCATTTATTTTTCTTTTGACATATATACCATTTTGCTATTAATCATCCCCTTCTGCTCTTTACTGTACAAAGACACTGTTGTGCTGATGGAACATATTTAATATTTGGTATGTTGTATTTTATTTCTATTGTTGCTTTCTCATTTCTTTATGGAAAATCTTTCTTTATTGACTCTTAAATCATGGGTTAAGCCCTTATTGAAAACATGTTCTGTATGTACTTCTTGTGAGAGAAAAAAAGTTCTTTTGAGGTTATAGGCTAGGCTTACACAAATACTTCATTATATGATAAAAATGCAGAGGTCTCCTATAAGTTATCTAAAGCTAGAAATATACCCGTTTACTCAGCAGCACATCATAAAAGAGATGCATACTATGTTCGTGTCTGTCAGTGCCTTAAGTCATCACTCTACAGCCTTTTTTAAATTCTCTTTTTATTTAAACCAAGAAACAAAACAAAGACAAAGAAAAGCAAAACCAACATCAATTACATGTCAACATGACATCAAACAGCATAATATATCAGAAAAATAAATGTATGATCTGGTGACTCAATGATTTCTGTCCATATGGCATTTACAGAGAAGTAAAGAAAAGGCAAATAGTTACACATCTGTATCGGGGAAAAATGTCCAATATAGAATTGGCCATAGTGACAGCACTAGCAAACTCTCAGCTGAGACTACCTGGAAATAAATAACACACAGAAGGGGAAGCAAGGTTCCAACAGTCTAGCTCTTATGTATATTTGGAGTTTTGAGCAATGAGCATTGTGAAGATATAAATCTTTTTATAAAAAGATTACTTTAAGGTTGGAGATATTCTACTTGCTGATAATAGGTCCAGATTTATAGATGGATATGTAGTACAACTACATGCAGAGCGACTCAAAAGTGTAATTAGAAAGTAATAAATCTTCAAAAATAAATGTGACTATCTGGTGAAACTACTAAAATGAATACTGACTTCGAGCCTATTTGTTTATTTGCTGAAAGACGTATGAAAAAGCCTCTTTGTATAAGTGCTAAACACAGGAAAACCACTGAGAATCAGTTAAGCCTCTAAAATAATAAGCTGGGAATTCCATTCATTATTATAGCAAAGGGCATCATAACTTTATGGTAAGTAGGGAAGGGTGGGAGAGAGGTGAGACTGTGGGGGTGGGAACTAGAGAAAGAAAACCCAGAAAGATCCAGAATCAAACACGGCCTCTGTTACTTGACTTTGTTGTTCATTTTCAATGGAGTGAGAACTGAACAGCTCAGCCTGAACTGCCTGGCTTGACACTCCCCGTTCTGAGGAACTTGGATGTGTTTCACAGCTTACAGCTGGACAACAGGGTACAGGGAAAAAAAGCCACAAGGATGGGTCATATTCTCTTTGCACAGTTAGGACTTGAATCTTATATGTACTAAAAGTATGGACAAAGAAAGAAAGACGTGTACACATAGACACATAGACTTTTATATATCTACACACAGATGGTGAGGTGTGTATGAATCCAGCTTCACATGGGATTTTTCCTCATTTTGCCGTTACGCTCAGTTCACAGATCTATCTTCTTTCTCTCCAAAGACACATGAGTTTACCTTCTGGATTTTGTTTTTCCTTTTTCTTACCCAAGTTGCCTGTTTATTCAGTGATCTGAGACCTCTTTTTGTTAGTCTTATTACAGCTACAGCTATAGGCTTTGAAGGAGGTGAGAAGTGACCCACTGAATTTGGGAAATGGTGCTGTCTGTGAGAGCAGGGAATAGGTAATGAACTCCTTATCTTATCTTTTAGATCAGCAATAACTTCAGCGAGACCACTTGGTCAACACTGTACACATCTCACTACACAGCCACGTCTCATCAAAGCAGTGACAAAATGCATTTTGCAATTGGCTGTTATGGGTGGCAGAGCAGAGTAGAGCGCAGAGCCCAGGGGGAGAAACAACTCCTGAGGGTAAAACAGCAGTACATGGAAACCTCAAAGGAAATTTAAGAAGGGATGGTGCAAGTGTGCGCGTGTATGCATTTAAGTCTGAAGGCAGAAAACTATGAGGGCTATGTGGAACATTTCCTGGAGCTTACCACTAATAAATATGGCAGGATTGTCAGCCCTGCAGTGTCCATACCTTCCTTCTGGGCCCCTGCCAGTGTCCCTGTGCCCGGCAGGCAGTGCATCCTAACCAAAGGGCAGGAGCTCCTCACTGCATTGTCTTGCATGTATTTTAGCACTCCCCTGCCCAACATTCTCTCCTGCTGAGGAAGGACTTTTCAGTACCCCTGTACATTGCCCCCAGGAGGTTTGGTTGTCATAATGCTGGAGGAACCTCCTTTCTCTTTTATTTTTCAATTTGGCTCATCCCATACACAGAAAATCCCCTCAGCCACCAAAACACTTTGCATATTATAGGACGCATCTTAAAACCTTTACAGTCAGCTGGTGTCTCTTAATTTGTTTCATCTAGACATACATCAGTCTCTCTCTGTATTCAGCATGACTGAAATGCTTAAACTTCTTAAGCAGGTTGGCAGCAATGATGCTATAGACATCATTCCAGTGGAATGTATAGCAGCAGCACCACTATCTGTAAGGACCTACATGACCTGGAGGACAGACAGAACTTTAAACTTTAACACTTCCTTCCAAGCTATTCCAGAATTTCTTCAGTGTGAATGTGTCTCTCTTGGAAGCATAAAAGATTTAGTTCTTTTGCTCCAGGCAGGACTTTTAAAATTAATACTTATATAAGTAAACTGTCCCGTTTAGTTTTCACATTAACTTATAATGCCACACTGGCAAGCTTATTGGTTATATTCTGGATCTGTGAACCAGGCAGTTGCTAAAGATGAGCTGGCAGGCTAATATGGACTGAGGTAACACTAGCAGCAA